GTGTGTGTGTGTGTGTGTGTGTGTGTGTTGTGCAGTATGGAGCTGGGATAATAAAAAGGTAAGATGCTCTCATTTTGCAGATGAGAAAACCGAGGGGCAGGGGCAAGTACCCAGTTTCTAGTCACATTATGCAGCAGGGGTCCCACAGCAGGGAGGGCCAGGCCCCAGGCTTCCAGAGCCTTCCCCCTGAACTCTCCTTGGTGTTCTGCTACTGGTGGTTCATTGGGAGTGCAGCAGGTGGGAGGAGAGAAAGAGTTAACTAATTCCGTACCTCCAGACCAGGGCCAACAGCTGCCTGCAAGATAAGGGGAGGGGACCCTTGGGAATAAACAACCTGTGGCTTGGAGAGATTGAGCAAGGCAGGAAAACAGGTGCAGGTGACAACAGGGAGTGGAGGAGGGAAGACAAAGACAGAGAGACAGAGACAGACAGACAGAACCAGACCGAGCAGAGGACATGGGGCTCCTGAGCCCCTGGAGGACCCCATGTGTCCCGGAAAGCCAGATATGGTCTCAGACCCACCCTCTCTGTGATCCCATGGAGGGTTAACTGGGTTCCAAAGGGCCCTGGACTGCAGATCAGCAGGGTCTGAAGGAAGTCCGTTGGCTTCAGCTGCTCTGGCCTCACCCGCTGGGCAAAAGTGGTGTGCACACCTTGAGGGGCAGGATTGCCCTTTGACAAGCTACCAGCAACAGCAGCCTCCCCTTTCCCCAAGGGCTGTCAACCAGAGCAGCAGACAGTTTCTTTGTATCAGAGGCCCTGCCCTGGAGAACTCCTGCTTGGAACCAGCCCACTAAAAATCCCTCCCCCAGCAAGTAACTGGGAGCCCAGTCTGGTGTGGGGGAAAGGGCACTAGGCTAAGAGATCGAAGTCCAGGCCTCGTCCTGTCACTGCCTCCCTGACTCTCTCTGGGGCTGTGAAACCATCCCCACACAGAGTAAAGGTCTTGATAACTCTCGGGGCAACCCGGCCCAGAGCCAGGTTGGGAAGTGTGGTGGGTGCTGGGGGGTTATGACCCTCCCCTGCAAGCTTGCTGTGCAGGCAGAAGCCCTGCCAGGCACTGGCAGTGGGGGCAGAGGGTGGGCTGGCTGTGGGCCGGACTCCCTCCTCTGCTCCCAGCAGGGCTGTGCTGAGACCTCAGGTCCTGTGCTTGGGCAGCACGCTGGCACCTACGTGAGGGGTGGCTGGGCACCGTGCCCAGAGCTGAGGAAAAGCTGCCTAGGAACTGCACCCAGGCCTTCTTGTTCAGCCAGAAATTCCAGCCTTTTAAAAATCAAGAGCCAGAGAGGGGTCTGGGCCTATTCCAGGCCGCCAGGGAGCAGGTTTTCCAGCTTGGTGGTATCGCTGGGCCCTTTGTGGAAGGCTTCCCTGGTCTTTGACTGGCTTTCTGGAAAGGTGTAGGAACCTAGGAGGAGCCCGCAGTCAGTCCTACGGCCATTTCTGGCAAGATGGAGGCTTCAGCCCCCTCATCCAGACCCTTGGGAAGGAATTATTTTTTAAATCAACTTTATTGAAGTTGAATTTACATACAACAAATGTACCCGTTTTAGATGCACTGTTCAATGAGTTATAAATGTATATGCTTGTGCGACTACCACAATAATCAAGATAAAGAATATTTCCATCACCCTAAAAGGCTCCCCGTGTCCCCTTCCCAGTCGACATGCTCTCGGCCCTGGCCCCAGGCATTCACGTGTCTGCTTTCTGAGACTAGAGGTTAGCTTTACCTATTTCATATATGTTACCATGCAAGTTTATGCTCTCGTGTCTGACTTTTTCGCTCAGCATATGTATTCTGAGATTCATCCACGTCATCATGTCTGTTGGTAGTGCTCCCTTTATATTGCTGGGTAATATGGATATATCATAGACTGCTTATCTGTTCCCTTGTTTTTGGACATTTGGCATGTTTCCAGTTTGTGGCTATCATGAATAAAGCTGCCGTGAACATTTGTGTACGTCTTTGTGCGGACGTATGTTCTCATTTCTCTTGCCTTAGTATCTAGAAGTGGGCTTGCTGGTGTGTATGATAAGGGTACGTTGAACTCTTTAAGAAACCGCTGAATTGTTTCCCAAAGTGGTTGCACCATTGTACACTGTGTAATTAGGAAGAAACTGTGAACGCAATCCTTCCCTGTTCCACATCTCAGCCTGTTCTCTTCCACAGGGACTGAGCAGGTTTTGTCAGGCGGTTTGGTGCTGGGAGGGGGATGGAGGTGGGGTGGGGGTGGCTGGCCTCCCCAGAAAACATCCCTGCCCCCTCAAAGTGGCCGCTCGTGATTGAGATAAAAGTGGCTGTGCTGAGTAGAGGAGAGCTTAAGGATCTATTTATACCTGAGTTTAAGCAGATGCATTGTTGGCTAAAACGCTGTAATTATTTTCCTTTTGCTGGTTCTTACCATCTCATCAAAGTGTCTTTAAACAGAGCTACTGCCACGCTGGCAGCCTCACCCCGATTCCCCTGCCTACCACCTCCCCAAAGAAATGGTAAAGCCTTTCCAAGGCTGGGGGCCGTTGGGAGCTTCTGGTCTGGAGCCCTCCCTTTTCACCCGTGCGAGCTGATAACTGGAGAAGGTAATATGTGTAGCTAGAGAACTTAGTGTTTTTGCTGTCAGCATCCCTCCCCTGCACTCACCTCCCTGTCCCACTGTCCCACCTTGCCGGCAGAGAGCGTTGGGCTCCCCTTACTCCAAAGGATACGGCTGTCCAGAGAGAAAGGAGGAAGCTTTCTTTTTGTGTTCAGACTGCTTGCTAATTGCCCAGAGGTGGGAAAGTGCAGGCAGAAGAAAGGATCTTCCACTGGAGCAAGAGTTAAGGAACCCTAGGAGTCTGGCACTGCTCATCTCCTGACCCTGCTCTAAAGGTTTTAGGGCTGGACCTACTAATGGTTCCTTCAGGATGAATTAAGATCTCCTCCATCGTAAGACTCTTGGGCTGTAATTTCTCTCAGACCTGAGGATATCTAAGAAACCATCCTCCTATGCTTAGGAAAATATCACCACCTGGTCCAGGAATAGCTCACTTAGCTGCTTTCACGGACCAGATCTCTTCCTGGCAAGAACCTGCCAGTCCCAGCATATTTTAAGCGAGTCCACAGATGATATGGCTTCAGGCTGTCAAAGGTTTGACTGGGATGACAAACCTGTAATATCATTCCACTTCCAGCTATCAAAATACCATCTAACTCCTTGTTACTGTCAGCATTTATTTTATTCAAACATTGCAATATAGCTGTGAGGTGCTGAGTGTGATAGAGGTAGGTGTCTCTTTAAGGCTAACTTTTATTCTAAATTGGCTTAATCCAAGCCTGTGCAGTCCATTATGGTATCCATTAGCCACATGTGGCTATGTAAATTTATACTAATTAAATTAAAATTTAAAATTTAAATTTTAGTTCTTTGATCGCACCAGTCACATTTCAAGTGTTCAGTAGCCACATGTGGTTTAGTGGCTGCCATGTTGGACAGTGCAGATATGGGACATTTCCAACAAGGCAGAAAGTTCTCCTGGACAGTGCTGGGTTAAACACCTAGCCAGGAATGCAGCAAGCAGCAGCTTTATCACCTAGAACATTTTCTGCACATCGCCCTTATCTGGGCTGTGCCTTAAAGGGAAAAAAAAAAATCTCAGAGATATGATCCCTGCCCCAAATGGTTCATAATTCCAGAATGACAAAATGATTTGCAAGATTTAAGACAGTAGAGAACAAATATAAGAGCAAGCAAAGATGGACATTATAAGGGCGAGAGAGTAATTAGAACAGTTGAGTGTAAAGTCCCAGAGAAGCTCGAAGGTGGGGTGGCAGCTGTCAGAAGGAGTCAGAAGAGACTCATTTGAGGAGGATATATTTGGACGGGGCCTTGAGAGATGAAGAAGACAGAAAAATATTCAAAGAAAAAGGAATTACATGTGCAAAGGTCTGAGATGTAAGGGGCTGGCCATGCTTGGGATCGTCTTGAAATGGTGTGGCAGGAGGTGGGGGGTCAGACTGGCCAGATGATAAAAGTCTTTGTGCTGTACCAAGGGGATCTAATTTATCCTGTGGAGCCCTGGAAGGCTTACAAGCAGGAGCTAGACATGGAGAGATTTGCACTTGAGGAAGATCACTTTAGAGAGAGTGAGATGGATAATATGGAGAGACCAGCCAGGAGGATATGGAAGAATTTGGGTGAAAACTGAGTTGTCCTAAATAAATCCTGGACAGGGGGCATGGAGAGAAGAGGACAGACCTGAGGAACTTCTGGGTCCAGCCTGGATGAGGCAGATAGAGAGGAACATATACTATGCCTGGGAAGGTTTCATGTAGGAGATGGGACTTCTGGGATGGATTTAATGCTATGTAAATTCAAAAGGCTCCTACAGCAAATACCCACACTAATTGGTCCCTAGAAGATCAAGGTTGCCAACCTTGATTCCTTCCAAACAGTGAAATGTGAGGATTTTCTGAGACCTCAGGTTTTTGTTTGAGTCAATAAAGGAACCAACCTATTATTTAAAAATGGGTTCTCCAGGGAGGGTGCCGTGGTCCTGGGCTCATTACAGAACAGAACGCACAGTTTGGTTGCCCAAACTCTGCACTTGGCTTTATTGATAATCCTAATGACACCCCCCAGGAAGAACAATTGCTGATCAACCCAGTTAGAAATTAAAGTTAATACAATGAAAAATGATGGATGCAAATACAAATACAGCAAAGCATGATGGATGCAAGTGCTGCCAGAATGTGCTGATCACAGGACTGCAGCTGCCCCGCTCTCCTCATTAGGCCCCTCCCTCCCACGTCACCTGCCTTCCCTCCACGGCTCAGTGACCTGTTGTCATCTCTTGTCAGGGGCTGTCAAGCTTCGAGTTTCCCACGTGGAGCCCCCCACTGAGCCTCCTCGCCTTCCCTGTGGCCTTTCCAAGGGCCCATTGTGTGGATGAGGCTGCTGTGAGCAGAGCTGAAGGAGCAGAGACAGGAAACAGAGCCTCCTCGACTTTCATCCTCCTTCCTAACTCTTTTGATCTCCTTTCCTGTTCAGCATGTCTCTCATTTCCCATTATCTTCTCCTCCACCCAGCTCCTTCACCCTGTGGCCGACTTTGTCCGTAGGCCCAGAATGTTCTGAGAGGGGCCCTGAATTCTGTGGGCGTCCCAAATGGTCGGGCAGGCCCTGCCCGCTTTGCTCAGCAGCACGGGCAGCTTAAACACGGCCTCCAGTTTTGCTGACCCTGTTCATTCCTTTGTCTCTGTAAAGAGAGGAAACTGGAGAGAGAGAGTTGGGGAACAACCCTCTCCCCCCAGGCCCTGCTGTGTATTGGGCTCCTCTCTGTCTACCTCCCTACCATCTCCTGAAACTTGCCTCCTGCTGAAACAGTTAGAAATAGTAAATCTTCGCTCCTTGCAATCCACAGCCCACCTAGATGAATGGATGAGGGTTCCCTTGGGAGGCCGAGGGAAGCATGTGGGAACTGGCCACTTCTCTGCAACGTATACACTGGTTGGTGTCACACCCCTGACCCTTTTTGCCAGCCCCCCAGAACCCATGTGCATCACGTATGTACCAGCCCAGTAGGGAAACCAGCAGTTCCCCCCAAGGTTTGGAGCAATTATTCTGCATGTTCTGGCTTGTTATGACCTCATATCTGCCCAACTCCAAACTCTTGGCTCTGCCCCCTCAGCCCTTTGGACTAGGGGTTTCTATCTGGTCCTACTGACATTTGGCATTTGGATTTCCTAGATAGGCATTGACATGGCTCACACACTGGGATGCCCAGTTTCTGCACTGTTTTAATAAGAGCTGTGCCTTGTCTCCAGCCCCGCCAACCCCAAATATCCACACCAGACTCTTGGCCTCTGCCCCGGGGAAGACAGTCTGGATAACCCAAGTGAAGGGGAGGTAGAGTGACAAGCAAAGTGGTGGAGAGGAACTAGCGCTGCCTCTAGTCTGACATCATCATCAGACTCCAAGGACTCAACTCTGTAGGTGGTCCACCCACTGCTTTCTACTGTAATCAGCCTGTTTACTTGTCTGCCTCACCCACTGCACTGTGGGCTCTGAGGGTGGGCTTATGCCTGATTGGCAGCTGGATGCCCACCACCTGGTACAGGTCCTGGCTTTCCCACTGAGTGTCTGTGGAACAGAAAAATAGATAAGAATGAGCTTATCTAGCTCATTATCTAGCTCATCAACAAAGGAGCGCTTCCTCCTTTGTTCTCTGTCATGGTTAATGTCAGCCTATTATACATAAGGCCTCAGTGAGAAACTTTAGGGTCCTTAAGTTCTGTTGATTCTACTTCTTAAAATACTTTTCCAATCAATGCCTCCTTTGTGGGGCTGTTTGTTTTTGCCTGGTTAATTCCAACCAGGAATGGGTTGATGGATTTCCTGGCTTCCCTGTTTAACTCTCTCTCCTATCTGCCCACCTTCCTCATTGTTCATAGGTATCACATAAATCTAATCACTCCACTTCTTTGTTTAAATATTTCAATAACTCCCCGTTTCTCACAAAATAAAGTACAATTCCTTTAGACCCTCCATGCTTTGGTCCAACCTATTATTTCAGCCTGTTTCTTTTTTTTTTTAAAGATTTTTATTGGGGAGCTGGGAGGATGGGAACAGCGCTGGGGAATTGGGGAAAGGGGAACAGACAAGTTGCTGTCGTTTTGTTCTTCAGTCTAGTTGTGGAGGACGTTGCTTCACTGGCCCAAGTTGGCACCATTATTGCGCTCTTCCTGGGCAAGGCACATCAGTCGCCGGCTGCTGGCCGCTCACTGCGGCTGCTGGCTACACACGGTAGCCCATGACAACACACTGCAGCAGGGGCTGCAGCCTATACCCTCGCCGGCGACTCACAGCAGCCCAGCTCCAGGTTGAGCTGTTGTTCAGCATCTTAGCTGTAGAGGGCAGTGTCACTGGCCCTCATATGTGGGATCCGAACCGGGGCCCTCTGGCGTCCCAAGCCAGTTCTTAACCATCGCGCCATTCGGCCGGCCCTCCAGCCTGTTTCTTGCTGTGTTCCCCTGTGGACCCTGTGAGCCAATCCCTTGGAACTTCTCACTGTTCTTCAAGCAAGTTCTTTCTCTTCCTCCACACTTTGCATCTTTTATCCACTCCGCAAAAGTTGCTCTTCACAACAAAGCCCACCGTTTCCAATCTACTGGACTCATACTAGTCTTTTAAGACCCAGCTGAAATGCCACCTCCTCTATGATGTCATCAGCTAGCCATGAAACATTCCTTTCTGGTGTGTCTTTTCATCTTGCACATGTTGCTAGCACAATGGGCCATCACAGAGTATTGTAGTTCTTTGCTCCATGTCTCTTTTGCATGAGCACATAACCGCCTGTGTTATGCAAAAGAGGGCAGGGCCTGTGTCTTACTCGCTTTTATATACTCAAAGCTGGCAGAGAGCCTTGTGCATGGTAGGAGAGGCAGTATGCTATAGGCTGTGTGGCCTTGGGCAAGCTACTTACCCTCTCTGTCTCTCAGTTTGCACATTCCTACAACTATCATAATAATAGTTTCTGGCTGAGGGAATCCTTAACAGTAAGAATTAAATGAATTACTACTTGTAAAGCATGTAGAGCAGTGTC